TGTAATCCAATTATTATAATTCTTTTTTTATTTTGCTCCTATGAACTATGTCTTTGATATAAGTCTATCAGCAATCTCCAATAATAAATTTTTAATTTATCAGACACTTGTAACATTAACTACAATTAATTGTTCACCCTGATTGTGAAACAGCCGTAAATTTGTACTACATGTATATATACGAACATGACAGATGGGCGTATACATATGCATTCTCTTGACTGAAGATACAGTACATATATTTACATGTACAGTTATTTTTTAATAGTCCATTGGTCAGTAAAATACAACAAAATATTGTCAAGAGTGGAGATCTGGTTTGCAGCCAGTGATGATGAAGTCATGATTTATTTACTTTCACCTTTAAACGAGAGTTATATCCAAATGTAATTGAGTCACCTTTAGGCAAGCAATGCCACTGATGTTTTATTGCGCTTGTAAAATGAAAAAAAAAAAATAATAATAATAAACAGTTAAATCGACCCAAAGCTTTCTTTAAATCTGAGATCGCAAAGAAATATGTTCAGGTATGCATCTTGTTGAGATGTTGCTATTGTGTTACATACTGGTACCTTGTTGTAAGAAAAAAGGCTACATTTTTTTGCTGTCATCCACTTTTGGGCTAAAAGTTCAACATGGATCGGGGCTCCATATCTCGAAAAGTTCGCTATGTTGCGCACGTACGCAAGCGTCTCGATTCCATAACCGATTTTATTTCGAGATACGGGGCCATGGAATCAAACCTTTCGAGATACGGAGCCCAGGAGTTCCTTTGACTTTGATAGTCGTGTCACGTGCTCCCTGTTGCAGTTTGTAAACAAGGATGAAAAAAGAGGAAACTGTACATGTTATATGTAGAATTCTAGTAGATCATTTAAAGAAAAGCTAGTACTTTGTAAGTCTCAAGTTTGATTGCAAATAATGATGTTGAAAATAGCGGAAGTTGTTCAAGCATGTCGTGGACTAGCGAGAATTATACAATCAAGCCAGAGATTGACAAGTATCAAAACCACTCGGATATTAATGACCCCTTTCCAATCTAGTTTGGCTGCAAATAACGAAACATGTATTCTTCCTGTCCGGGGACTGACGAACCAATCTCTGCGTTTGAAAAAAGTGAGTACTCCACCAAAGCAATTCTTTTTTTTAAGCTGCATAAACAACGAGTTGTTAATAGTTATCATAAATTCGTATTCATTCGGCGGACATGTGCGTGTATGATAGTAATGTAAGTCCGGCCCTTTGAAGGTCCTATCTTTATGCAGTGATATAGTTAAATGATACAATTATAAATGTATATGGAAATCCTTTGCGAGCCATATATAAGACAAAAAATGGACGGTTTGCAACTTAAGATACTTCAACACAGTTATTACCCTTGTCGACTTTTGTTTAACAAATTCGACTGCAGTTAAACGTAAAAGTGGGTAAGAAAAATATTTAAAAAGGTGGTTGTTATCGACCAGTCTGTGTAGCGCCATTGATTATCTTTTAAAAGAGTGCACATTTATAACAAGAACAAATATGACGAGAATTAAGAGAATTAAGAGAAGCAGATGTACATGTAAGTAAGTTAAAAAATTGTGGTTTGGCAATGACCTAAAGTGAAAGATGCGTCCCTAGGTCACGCCACAATAAATCAATAAATGATTAAATAAATAAAATTAATAAAGACTTGAGTACACAAGTGAGCAATAGTTAACGTGGATATTGCATCAATGGACAGGGGAAGTATTGGAGCGATGTTTGGCGGAAGGACAGCCGGTAGATATCTTGACGATTTTTTTCTTTCTGTTTAAGGGGGCGGGAGAAAAGCAGATTTTGGGGGTGGAGGGGGGATCAGAGCAGGCCACACCGCCTGATCCTAATTGTCTAATCCTGATCTGAGTAGGAATTTGAGAGACCGCCAGAAAAAAGTGTCTAGATCCGCCTATAAGTGGGAGGTACTCCGTTCTCTCTCTGAGGTTTACACTGATGCTCATAAGTTAAGCAACACTTTCTTATTTCTCGAATTTCTCAGCAACCAAAATTTTTATTGAGGCAAAATTTGTACAGTAGCTAGATATTTCTTTTGTTTTTACTTTGACTTACTGGACCGTGACATTAGAGTATATTTACTGTTGGACACGATAGAATATGCAATGGGGGTGCCACTTGCGAAAAACACAGTTTGGCCATGCCATGAGGAGCTTCCAGTTTGGCTAGTTTCATGGGCACAATTTGTTATTTTGGACCAACCAATGGTTAGAAGAGGACTCAACGAGGTAATCAGATGGCAAATAATGGGAAGTCATCGTGCTGGGGTGCCAAAGAGACAGATTGCAAGGCAACAAAAAAGCAGCACCAAGTCAAGTGTCCAAGCTGGTAGCAAAATGGCGCCAAACTCGTTATGTATTGGACAAGCCTCTTTCTGGTAGACCAATATTAACCGACGCAAGAGATGAAGATATCTGGTTCGATTATGCCACCAGGACCAGTTCATATCAGCCAAACAATGAAAAATTGCCACCGTACGTCATTCAAGGGAGGTGCCCTGCTCAACAATACAGAGAAGAAATACCATTGGGGTGCATACAATCACACATTCAAGCAAATCCAGAAAGAAAACCCATTTTGGTGCAGGACAATGCGCCCATCCAGAAAGCATGGTCCGTGCAAGACGCGCTGCAACAGCGCGGTATCCCACATTTGGATTGGCTTGCATATTTATCAATTCTCAATGTAATATAATATGCTTAGGATATGATTGACAGGGCAGTAAATGAGAGACAAACTCCAGTTAGAAACATTAGAGAGGTCCAGCATGCAGTAACTGAAGAAGGGAACCGGCTCCCAAAGCAAGATTGGCAGAATTTGGTGGCAAGTTGCAGGAGACAATGTGAAGCTGTTGTTCAAAACCAGGGAAAGCACACCCGATATTTATTGCATAATAGACGATTAATCATCTATTATCTACAGTCTTCTTTTATTAAAACTAATTCTTAAATGATCGAACTTTATTTTTTCATAATAAGCTGTTTTAATCAGCACGTACTTTTTGCTGTGTGAGCATACTTTTTTGACACATGGTTTGGCATATTTTAGTACCGTTTGGTTAATAAAGTTATTTTGATTATTACAGTAAGCTGTGTGGTGTATTTCTTTAACCGAATTATTCAACTTGAATAAGTTATTTATAAAATATGAAAGAAATATGTATAATCCCACCAACAAATGAAATAATGATCATGATAGAAGAAATTCTGAAAAAATCGGGGTGTTGCTTAACTTATGAGCATCAGTGTAAGAAAACTATTATTTTCCCTTACAAGTTGACCATATATTTACTCATATGAACATGGCTAATGATACCGCACAGTCCATCATGTGGAATATTGAAGTAGATTCAAACTTACCCAAAAATTTTAGATCTCAGGTTAAACAGGCTCCTGGGTATTTTGCATTCAGGTTACACATTCCCGCTTAAGAAAACAGGTTCTTTGGTCCCAAAAAGTGGTTGCAGGTCAGAGGTTCACCATTGTTCGGGGATTCGGTTTACGCTGAACATGCAGATGTGTTGCACCTGTGTTAACCTAAGCGTGACACATTTTGCAGATACACAAACATATAAAAGAAAAAATTACGCTTAAGTTATCTAGCACTGGTGGCAGATACTTGCAGAGCAGGTGGTTCCGTTTCTTAACACTTCTATTGGTCACTTCTTTGCTCTTGGCTTTAGTCTTGACTGTAAGGGCTTATACATAAAGGATGCGGTTCTTGTAAACCAAAAGCCGCTTAAGTTAATTGCAATTTGGCGAGAATCGATCAACAGTTAGTGCGATAGGGTCTGGAATGGTCCTTTGGCGGCTTACATGTCTGTCACGCCTACTGAAACTGCTAGGGGATATTTAATTATCGTTTAACAGCCAGACATCTAAACACATAGAGCTGTAATTCGTCGAGAATCCCCTTGGAAATTGATCGATCCACAGTTTATTTAGGATCTGGCTCTAAGCACAGGTAATGGAGTGTGGAGCGCTCCCTAGGAACGGAATATTTTACAAGACTGATGAAAGCAAAATTTTCTTCAAAATTAAATCGAACGCAAAATTACATTTTGCCGACAGCCCGCTGGTGTTGCTAGACGCCGATTCTTTATTTATCAAATAAATTTATTTGACTGAATTTACATTTTTACCGAAACTACTATAACTTTATGTATATATACTATAACAGTTTTCTGTAAGCCCAGAGGAAAAACAGAAATGAAACCCATATTATTCCTGGGACAAAAAAAAAAAAAAAAAAAAAAAAAAAAAACTCTGAAAACTGGGTATGAACTAATTAAATAATATTTAATGCAATTTGTTTGGGAAAATGATCCCGCCCTTCCGCAAGCAGGCTAGAAAGTGACCACTATTACCTGTTTCCTCCCTTTCTTAACTCCCACGCCAGTTTTCATTGGACATGCATAGAGCTACTACTTATAACTGTAACTCATTCCATCATCAACCCAAACATCTCCACGTACCTTCTTTTTCATCGCAAACCGTGATTACAATAACTCTCCGCTATACTCGCGAAATGCAGAAAATTTTAATGTCGTTACTATTATGCATAAAAGAAAACCAATTTTCCAACTTTTCAAACTGCGATTTTGCTGGGCTTTATTATCAATGTTTTATAATAGCTGACGTATTTATTGGCATATACTCGAAATAAGTAAATGAGTAAATGCATAAATTGATAAATTAATCAAACGGTTAGTTTTAAATTTTACAAATAAATAGGGTAATACGGAATAAATCATATAGAAGTACATAAAAAGAAATATATTAGATAAAGAAAAAATTCAAGATCACACCTGAAGTTCAAAGAGAGCATAAGTTTTTTTTGTAGATACATAAATAACCTAATAACCCCCCCCCCCAAAAAAAAAAAAAAATCGCTTTGATCAGGTCTCATCACTTTCTCGCGTATTCATGATAATTACATGTAGTTGGAAAACCTTTCAGATGCCGATGGATTACCCACCGTTGACTGGGTCAGAGATTTGGAAGCGAAAAATCCGCACTGCATTCAAGGGTTTAGATGCCAACGACGACGGATACATAACGGAAGAAGACTTTATAATAGCTGCTCAACGTGCAGCACAGTACTTGGGTCTTACTGGTAAGGAAAAAAAAACAACTTTGCTTTATTGAACATATAGTTCGATATATATCTTTAAAAAGAAAATAAAAAGGACTCTACTTACTAGTTCTGTTTACACAGGATTTCAACTTATCTCTCTCTCTCTCTCTCATTAACTTTATGTCTGTCGTTAATGCACACGTTGGAAAGTGTAACTTCACTTTCTGGGGTGTAACAATAATATTTTTTTGTATATTTGTATCTTAAAAGATGACAATAATGTTGAATAACTAGACATGTACAGATATTTTCCGTGCATTTTGAAAACTTCAAGGATTGACGACAGAAGCGAGGTACTGATGTCACTGATGCTAGTGTAGGGGGTCCCTTACGTATGAGCGTGTCATTTATTTCCTATGCCCAGGGAGTAACGCCCAAAAATAACATTTGAAGTTGGTTATGCATGCATGTAGTCCAGTGGCTTAGGGAAAAAAAAAATGCCCAAGAACACTTCGTAGTTATTCACCACAGACATATTATGTGGGTAACAAAAATCTGAGAAACACACTTAATTTGATAGTGGACAACGTATCTTTCTAGCTGGTATTAGTTGTGCACTAGTATTCCTATGGCTGTGCACTAGTATTCCTATGGCATATGACAGCCATCTTGGATTTTTTCAAAAAGTCAAAGGGAACTTATTTGCTATCTGACATATATGAATAAAATGGGAAATAAGGGTGTGGAAAACTCTGAGAAAATAATTTATTTGATAAAAATCAACAAGGGTATGTGCATATTTCTATAGAATTCCATAAATTGGCGGCCATTTTGGATTTTTTGACCAACCTGTTAATTGTTTGAGAGGGCTACGGCTCTAATTTGATTTAGAATGTCAAGAGGTAACTACATGCCAAATTTGGTGCTTTTATCCGCCGTGTCACGATTTTTTCCTTAAGCCACCGGACTAATGCTCTCGCACTGGTGCATGTAGTGTGTGTATGTGCGTCTAATGGAATTGGTCTAAAAACGATTTTCTCTTAACTTGTGAAGTAGTCTTTGTTGGTGCATGAAGATAAAGTTGTGTTTTAACAATGAGAAATTCACTCAATCTGATAACCATTACTTATCGTTTTAGACGAGGAAACCGAGCCCATGCTTAACATACGCCGTGAGGTCTGGAAAGGTATGTCTAGTAACAGTCAAACAACCAAGATTTCAGAGGAAGAACACATAAAGATTACAATGTCAATCTTTAACGAAAGTAAATTCCGATTAGAAACCTATCCTCGAATTGTATTAACGGGATTCGATGTCATGGATATCGATGGAGATGGACGCATATCAAAGCGGGAATTTGCCGCCTTTTTCTACGGTATGAACGTCCCAGCCGAATATTCGAAGGATGTCTTTGATGTTCTAGATGAAAACAAAGATGGCTTCATTTCATTTGAGGAGTATGCACAAGGTCACGTGGAGTTTTGGTTCGGTGAGGATCCAAATAGCAAGTACAACGAATTTCTGGGTCCACTTGTTCAATAATTTGCTTTTCCTACGACAAGAGGAACAGTCCATATATTCTGTTGTTCATTTTTTTTAAATATTGAAACCTGCTATAAACTAACGGCTGTTTTACAATCAGGGGTACAAAATAGGGGTCACATTGAGAGAAAAATGAACTCTGATGCATTTGTTTAATTTTGTAACAGATAAAAAGAATAACATCTTAACTATGACATCCACAATTTTTAGAACACAATATTAATTACTTTTTGTGCTACGCTCAAATTAACTAACGGCTCTTAGACTATGATCTGGGGGTACGGACACTACACATTCAAGTAACTGATGCTTTTGTAACTGAAATATCATATTGTTTACCAGTTATTTTTAAAATTTTAAAAATTTTAAAAAATATCAAAATAAAGATATAACAGCAGTACTTTAACCAAAAGGACAACTCCTGTATTATATTTAGGTCATCGTAAATTCATCTTATTATCAGGTAGGTGATTTCAAAGTAAGATCTGGCCTTATCAGATGTGTTTTTCATTGCATTAACAAAAATAAGTAAAGTGTGTATCAAAGCCCGTTTCAGCAAAATGGTAAAAATATTTTTTTCTCAGAACATATCTTTGGAATAACCTGTTAGAAGAGAAGACACATGTTGTGGGAATTATATACCAATATCATATTCACCATAAATCATTGACATAAAGAGCTAGTGCATCATCTTTATGGCCTTAATTTCAAATGCCCCCAACAATAACAGCTAAAAATAGGTACTTTTTGAACACATAATTGGCCATTTTTTTTGTAAATTGTAATCCTATTATTATAATTCTTTTGTTTATTTTGCTCCTATGAACTATGTCTTTGATATAAGTCTATCAGCAATCTCCAATAATAAATTCTTAATTTATCAGACAATTGTAACATTAACTACAATTAATTGTTTACCCTGATCGTGAAACAGCCGTAAATTTGTACTACATGTATATATGCGAACATGACAGATGGGCGTATACATACACTGTATGCATTCTCTTGACTGAAGATACAGTACATATATTTACATGTACAGTTATTTTCTAAAAGTCCATTGGTCAGTAAAATACAACAAAATATTGACAAGAGTGGAGATCTGGTTTGCAGTCAGTAATGATGAAGCCATGCTTGATTTACATTGACGTTTAAAGGAGAGTTATATCCAAATGTAATTGAGGCACCTTTAGGCGAGCAATGCCACTGATGTTTTATTGCGCTTGTAATAAATGAGAAAAAAAATAAATAAACAGTTAAATCGACCCAAAGCTTTCTTTAAATCTGAGATCGCAAAGAAATATGTTCAGGTTTGCATCTGGTGAAGATGTTGCTATTGTGTTACATATTGGTACCTTGTTGTAAGAAAAAAGGCTGCAATTTTGCGTCATCCACTTTTGGGCTAAACGTTTAACATGGTTCAGGGGTTCCTTTGACTTTGACAGTCGGGTCACGTGCTCCCTGTTGCAGTTTGTAAATAAGGATGAAAAAAAGAGGAAACTGTACATGTTATATGTAGCATTCTTGGAGATCATTTAAAGAAAAGCTGGTACTTTGTAAGTTTCAAGTCTGATTGCACAATGTTGAAAATAACGAAGATTGTCCAACCATGTCGTGGACTAGCGAGAATTATTAAATCAAGCCAGAGATGGACAAGTATCAAAACCACTCGAACATTCATGACCCCTTTCCAATCTAGTTTGGCTGGAAGTAACGAAACATGTATCCTTCCTGACGAACCGAACTTTGCGTTTGAAAGTACTCCACCAAAGCAATACCTTTTTTAAGCTGCATAAAAAACGAGTTGTTAATAGTTATCATAAATTCGTATTCATTCGGCGGACATGTGCGTGTATGATAGTAATGTAAGTCCGGCCCTTTGAGAGTCCTATCTTTATGCAGTGATATAGTTAAATGATACAATTATAAATGTATATGGAAATCCTTTGCGAGCCATATATAAGACAAAAAATGGACGGTTTGCAACTTAAGATACTTCAACACAGTTATTACCCTTGTGGACTTTGAATTTGTTTAACACATCTGACTGCAGTTAAACGTAAAAGTGGGAAAGAAAAATATTTTAAAAGGTGGTTGTTATTGACTGTGTAGCGCCATTGATTATCTTTTAAAAGAGTGCACATTTATAACCAGAACAAATATGACGAGAGAATTAAGAGAAGCAGATGTAAGTAAGTTAAAAAAATTGTGGTTTGGCAATGACCTTAAGTGAAAGATGCGTCCCTAGGTCACGCCACAATAAATCAATAAATGATTAAATAAACAAAATTAATAAAGACTTAAGAACACAAATGAGCAATAATTAACGTGGATATTTCATCAATGGACACGAGAAAAACTGGAAAGTTATTTGGCGGAAGGACAGCTGGTAGAATTTCTGAGGATTTTTTCTCTCTTACTGTTTAAGGGAGCGGAACCAAAAGCAGATTCTGGGCGGGGGTGGGGGGTGCGGTGGAGGGGGAGGGGGCAGAGCAGGTCATACCGCCTGATCCTGATCTGAGTAGGAATTTGAGAGACCGCCAGAAAAAAAAAAGTGTCTAGACCCACCTATAAGTGGGAGGGACTCCGATCTCTTTGAGTTTTAAGAAAACTATTATTTCCCCTTACAAGGGGACCATATATTAACTCATATGAACACGGTTAATGGTACCGCACAGTCTATCATGTGGAATATTAAAGTAGATTCAAACCTACCCCAAAATGTTTGGACCTCACGTGAAACGGGGTCCTTGGTCTTTTGTACCGGTGCGATTGCAGCGATGGCAATTTTGATTTCAGCAGCATATTTGGCAAATAATTCCGCCGAGGAGATATCGTTTTTCGACCGAACACGATTAATAGGTGGTATGACGTGCTGTCATACCGGAAAAGCTACTGAATCAAAACAACTTGGATCGCATTCATTGATAGACCTGCTCTGAACGATCTTAGTCAGTTGACTTCAGATGCTTTTATTTGCATTTTGTTTTGCAATGAGATAACGTTTGGTTTCACCTTTGACGTTATAGAGCACGAGGAGGTCGACGGCTGTTCACAACTCGGCGGTTACAGTATTGAGTAGTCTTTACTTTATCAAATGTCGACTGCGAACTTGCCCCGGGTACTGTATGAACACATGTACAGGCTTGAGAATCAAGGGCTCGATATAGGAAAGGAGAGGCATGAAAAGACAAAATGTGCGTATGTGTTAAAAGGAGCAGAGGCGACACGACTTGTCTTAAAAATATAAAAAAATAAAAAGTAAAATAAAAATGTTTCTCACTGATAATATTATCTGATATCCCAACGAGAAGACAGCACATTTTGACGAAATGCAGTACATACGGAGTTAGCTATAGCTCAATTTAAGTAGAAGATCTTTTTCACCAACATAAGACATTTAAGTGAAGAGAAAGAAAATATAATTGTCGACTCAGATGTAAACTTTCAAAAGTAGAGCGCATTTTTATGCAAAAGGTAATTTGCTAAGTCCCACGAGAGCCCTGATAGTTACCTCGGAGCCACGACAGCTTTGTTGACATGAAGTGATCAGTTGGAAACTTTGAACCTTCTCACGGAGAGCGCCAGATTGGATGTACATGTGTAGATCTGCTATCCCAATCGATAATCCGGGTGCCGCATTTCATCCCACGCAACCCCAGTCCCCGGCATGAACAGTGCATGATGTACAGGAAGTCGTGTTTGAGCACGCAACACGGAGCACGGAGTTTGTTTTATGCCAAGATTTATTTAGCCTTTACCCATGACATTAAAGTGCACAGTGGGATCAGAGGTGGTTCACAACAGGCGTGTTTTACTTTTAGCAAGACCCTAAGAGGAGAGAGTAAAAACAGCCAAGTGTTTATTTACCGGTGCGATTACAGCGATGGCAATTTTGATTAAAACATAAGCGGCAAATAATTCCACCGAGGACATATCGTTTTTTTGACCGAACACGGTTAACAGGTGGTATGACGTGCTGTCATACCGGAAAAGCTACTGAATCAAAACAACTTGGATCGCATTCATTGATAGGCCTGCTCTGAACGTTCCCAGTTATATGACTTTAGATGCTTTTATTTGCATTTTGTTTTGCAATGAGATAACGTTTGGTTTCACCTTTGACGTTATAATACACGTGCGGCTGCTAACATGCTCGTTTGACTCTATAGAAAATAGATTTGTGTAACAATATCAACCATATATATTCTGGAGTGAATGACTATATTTTAAATATAGCCATTCACTCCATTAACACTAGGAATAAACCGTTATAGTATTTGGAAGTAAAGATTATTTCTTCAAATTGAATTTTTATGTAGTTTTCTTTCGATATTCTTCCTTGGAGAATAAGTTCTCATTTTGCTTCAGACATGGTATAACTGGAGTAGAAATTTGTGATAGAATGATGTGCAAATGTGAAGGAGGGTGCAGATCCGGTTGCTCAAAAGTGACAGTTTCCGGATTTTTCTTGTAAGAAAGAAGTTTTTTTCAACTTATAACGCTTTTAATAGCACTACTAACAATTAACTTTTGGAAATGAATCTGAACTGTTATGGTGTTGATTAAACAACTTCTTTGAAAGTGATGACTTAAAAAGTTGTAAGTTATTATTGAGAGCCATATATATTTGATGACCCTTAGCAAAATTTAAGGCTTCTTGCAAACAGTTGCTGCAAATTTGCTGCAAACTCCCCACAAACTTAATCAGCATGACAAAAAGGAATCTGTCATAGGTTTCTTGCAAATTTGCTGCAAACTCTCAAGAACCATTCATGCGAATTTGCTGCAAACTCTCCACTACTGTTCTTGCGAATTTGCTGCAAACTCTCCAGAACTGTTCCTGCGAATTTTCTGCAAATTCATTAGAAGTTCTTGCAAATTTGCTGCAAACCCTCCAGAATTGTTCTTACGAATGCTCTGCAAACCCTTAAAAAATCATTCTTGCAAATTTGCCGCAAACTCTCCAGAACTGTTCTTGCGAATTTCCGGAAAATCTCAAAAAAGCAAATCAAAAAAACATTTTTCTCCAGTACCACTATTGCAGTAGACTGACAACTAATATTTAACCCAGTGATTATGGATTTATTTGTGCCAGTTCTTTTTTTAAATTAAATCTCAATCATGTATGCCATATTTGAAATCATGGAGTAGCAAAATTTTATTACTGTATTTTAGCCATGTAGTACAGCTGGCAGAACACATACAGAAAATTATCAAATGAATGAAAAAATAGCACACACAGAATATCAGTAAGAAACACCATAAACATTTTTCAATATTTTATTTTAGAAACTTGCACATTTATATCAAATCAAATCAACATTTGGTAAAGATTGTTCAGATGTCTCCGATATAATGATACAACGTGAATCTGTTATGCATTTTATTCATTGAAAAGAACAGTAACCAAGCTATAAAGGATGCTTTAATTTTTAAGAGGATTCAACAACTTTATTTACATCTCCAAGTTTAAGTTTAAAGTAGTCCGAGTTTAATTATTGGGTCCTTAGTAATATGTCTTAATTCTGTTAACTGGCTTCAATATCTCAATTTTGTTAATGATTCACTGTAACGTATTTTGTGTGTATGAGTATATAAGGAGTAGAACTTAGTATAAGAGCTCAGAGTGACTTTGGTCAGTTGAACCGATAGCTAGATTGTCGATTGCTCGAGCAAAAGAAAAAGGTCAAATGATTGGCACAATGCACAGCCAAATGGTCACCAAATTATAATATCTTAATTATTTTCGCTACACATCCCCCCCCCCAAAAAAAAATATATATATATATATAATGTTGGAGTAGTATAGTTTAGAGAAATGCCATAGGGCATAAGAAAATAATATTTGAGCGGATATATCTGCTTTCTTTATGTGCTATAAACATCCCTTGGAAGTCCCATTTGAATAAATATGCGATTGCTTTCCCATATATACATCCATACATAGGTGTGAAAGTGATGACTATGTAATGAGTGCACATTATTACGTAATTAATGGACTTTTACAGTTTTTACAAACTGTTAAGATGTACAGTCAAACAATTGAAGAAGGCGCGGTTTAAAAGCTACATGTATTATTGGCAGATATTAGTCGTTTAAAAGTAGTGGGTGTTGTTTACTTGTAATCCACGCTCTGTTTATTTGTAATGACTCTATTTGATCAAAATCAAGCGGTCGCTGTATTTGCTACCGAACAACCAAGAGGTCCGCTGGTGCAGGCGTGGATTACAGCATTGACGCTAGTGAAGTTTTCAATAACAATGATACAGACAAGTAAATGATGTAGACGTGGATTACAGCATGACGCTAGTGAAGTATTCAGTAACACTGAAACAGACAGGTAAGTGATGGAGGTGCGGATTACAACATTGACGCAATTAAATAATGATAATAAATGGATATAAGCAGAGTACAAAGATCAAATAAATGTGTCGAAAAGTTAATTAAATCAGCTTAAATAATGAACGATTAAAAAAAAATAGACATAGGGAAATCTTTTGAAATAGTTAAGGTGCGGAAGTACAGTAAATTTCCCTTTAAATATTTTTAAATGCTAAACATTGGTATGAGGCAAGGATAAGAAATGTCAATGAATTCGTAGCAAGTGATGGGTCACTGTAAATTATGATGTCCTTAAGACCATTATTCCAGACACAAATTTTAGTAAGCCAGCATGCAATGGTTTAATTTCGAAATGAACCCCAACATCTTAACTCACGTCGCAACTGAGATATATTTGGTTTTGCTGCACACTAAATTGGCCGAAAGTCGACATCTGTGCTTTATTGAATGGTCATATTTTTACTCGTTTCACAGATTATTTTAAGTGGACTCTATGTGAAAGAGAAAAAAATGACAGGGCGATCAATAAATTCAACCCAAGCCTCCTTGGGTTAACTGAAATTTAAGGTCACATTTAATAGACATGGGTGTTTTGTTTTGCCGTACTTGTACCTCTGTTGTCAAGAAATAATGTCTCCACTTGTCTGAAGTCTTCAAGCAAACAGATTATAACCACCCAGCTCTGCCTGTGTTAGGTGTGCCAGTAACACTGCGGTTGAGTTAATACTAATTCCTGTAGGATAAGATTTCGCTTATATTTAAGTAATAATAATAATAATAATAATAATAATAATAATAATAATAATAATAATAAAACATTCGAAATATAGGATAATAAAGAGATAATCATCTATACTTTTTTACATTTTAATTTATATCGACATTTTATTTTCCAACTAATTAACATCCAGAATCATGGAGAAGACTTGTCATTTTTATATCAAAAGGTTATCGTACAATATATGACAAATTTTGTATTGTAGTTTTTTTTCTTTTTTTTTGTTCAAATAAAGTTCCATTCCTACCAATTTCACTGAGACCAATGTTATATTGTGTATAGTGTTTATAAAGTTAATTTGGAAAACAAAAGAAAAAAAACTTGATAAAATACAGGGGGTAATATCTGCATCTAACAACCAGAGACACACGGTTTATGCAATGATGTTTTGTGAGTGAATTCAGACCGCGATTACATACAGACACCTGATGCCTTTATTATGCTAATGACCCTCATGTGACGATTCTACTTCCTCGGCCATACATATGTTGCTCAACATTTCACATATTCTCGTGTTCATTGACTGTGTCTAGTAGGGAGAAAACCTGAGGACGCAACCATAGGGTAAATATATATATTTTTTAATTTCCCTGTTGCTATAGATTATGGACAGGCGTAGTCTAAATTATGTCTATATCATATGCATATTAACAAGCACGATCATTTAAATGAAGAGTCTATATTGAACATTATGAAACATGTTGTAATATCACTGCTAAGTTACTCCAGCCTTGTGTTTGTGAATGTTGCATTGCTGACTCCAGGCACATGTCTGTTATTTCTGCAGTGGTCTAATTAACAATGCTATTCATTCAATTTTTTACAACGCACCATACGGGATATGTGTGCCGCACAACGTCATTTAATTCTTGATGTACTCCATTTTCTCTTTTTTCTCGAAGTTAAATCAATAATTGCTTAGTGTAAAATTCACATTTTATTGTTAGTGGTGCAAAGACAGGTAAACGTATGTTTTCTGTGAATGTATAGTGCTAACAGCGTGTTTGAGTAAATTATTAAATTCTTACATCATTCTGATAGTTTGTGAATCTATTCTCTTGGACCTTTCTTGGAATTTTCATGACAAGATTCAATGCAATCCAATTAATTTTTCAATGTAGTGTGTAGATGTGTGTTTCAGGACTGGACAATAACCGATCTAAGGTCAGCTAACCCCCTGATAAGATTTACGACTAATTCAGGCTTTGGATTACTGAGATTTTATCTCTCCCCTCCTGACAGTGCCTCAAATGAGAATTAAAGCTTGCATAAAATGGGCCTTGCCCCCACATTTCCTCCAGTAACATGCTGTGGTTTTGGGGTTTGGCAGTCAAATTTCGTGCATAAATTGCTATATCCCCATGGTTATTCACGCGGGTAATTACACGCGTGATATTCATTATGGCATCTTGATCCTCTCTTTGTTCTCGGAGCTGACTCTGCTTGGGATGGCGGCCAAACAATTCTACTCATTGCATCACGTATTTCAACCCAATAAAATCTCAATTATTACCATTGATGATTGCAAGACGTATTTTATTGCAAAACAAACTGCAATAATGACCACGTAATTTCTTTTTCTTGTTTAATACCAGGCCCGTAGCCAGCAATTTCAAAAGGGGGGTTCTTTTTCTGAAAAAGTGGACCTTTCCCTTAAAAACTCTATGTACCTAGGTCAAATTTTACTCAAAGTGGACCTTTTCCCAGCAAAAGGGGCGGTTCTTTCGAACCCCCTGAATCCCCCCTGGCTACGGGCCTGAATACATATAGTGCACTTGATCCATATAAAAGGATAAGGTATGGATATCTTAAAGACCAGTTTCTTAAAAATGTCTCAATAGGCCGGGGAAGACATAAGTGAAGTGCAGGTAAAGTGAATGTATAGTATAGGTGAATTAAACTACGTACAGGGTATATTGAAAACAAGGCCATAAACTCAGACACATAAATAAGGCCCTCATTCAAGTTGAGATGATGGGAAGATGGTTAAAAGTCACAAAGCTATCTGAAATCTAATTTTTCCTTCCATTAGTTTCCATGTAGATGCCACAAAAGAGGCGTTTTGTTTACCACACCTGTTCAACATGTACAGTGCGGGTAAGCATTCGTTGTAAATGGTATCTGCTCAACTCCACTACATATAGGTGAGACGCTTGATTATGGTAGCGCTGCCTTTAAAAACCATTTATTTATTTATTTATTCATTTCTTTGTTTGTCAACAAAACGCCTGGAGGAGATGTACGAAACGACTTATTGAATAACATCGATTCCTAGGTTTCCACGTTCTGCTCCGAAATTTGGAAACAATTTGTATTTGCTTGGTCGATTGCATCATGTACATGTACGATATAAAAGCAGAAGGATTACACGACAACTTGAAACCGTTTTACGTTGTCTATACTGTTGTTTTTTTTATTCCATACACCATATGTAACATGACATGTGGCCCAGGAAGCAAAATACCGGTGAAGATATCCATGCAATGAATAAATAAATCAATAATAAAAACAAATAGATTTAGAACAAGTGTGACGAAGCTGTTGTCTTCATATTTTGCTGTTACACGAAGTAGTAAATGAAACTCTGTAATACTTTTTCATATTCTTATTTAACTACTTAATTTCCAGTTGGTTCCCGCGCCTCTCCCTTTCCGTTTCTATCTCTACCTCATGCAGTCACCAGCCACCTTATCTATGTTTACATTAGACGCAGTTATATGACTATCATAAAGGCATGTCATTCAACTAAGTTACTCTACAAAACATTCCCCGTTCCTTATTCACTCATGGCTGTCAGTTACTAACATTACACAAGCACCCCTCAATCTGTTGTTCCGCATTGGTTTCCATTGAGGCAGCAAATGTCCTTTAGTTGAGGTAACGCGCGTTATACATTCAACAAGAATTACAAATCTGTTCAGAGGGATATTTTGTAGAGAAGCTTCGCGGGGTTGGTCCAGATTCTTAGAAGTTTGATTATACTCTGCAATGAGCACTTCTGTCATCTTGGGTGGTTCCATAGCTTATTGTGAGCACCCAAAATGGTTGTTACGATCTCAGACCATTATGGTAATGTTGTAACAAAAGACAGGAACTTTGAGAGCGCCCGTTGCCATGGTGATGCCTGTAGTTACTCCTGAAGTATTTTAGCTGCACTTAAAATTATATGATGGTGTTTGGCCGGGTTAAGTAGCAAATATTTGACTTTATATGTAAGTTTACATGTTATTACTATTCCAGGCGACTTCAGATCACACTTGTAAGAGACACCCACTCATTATGGTCTTCAGTCTATTGACAATATGTTTTTCTGCCACGTTGATGAGTGATAGAGTTTCCACTCTGGCTATACGAGGTGAAAAGGTATAGATTATCACATAACTTACTTGACTGTGATATGAAAAGACGTCTCGTTTGGGTACCCGTACATATATCAATTTAATAATGTTAATGTTGTCCGATACATGGTAATGTCAGTGTCATGAAAGACGTTCCGTCTTAAAATTTGATAGAATTTGGCAGGGTGATTATGATATCTGAAAGAATGTATGCTTTTTTTGTTTTTTACACAGTACATAAACCTACATTTAATTTTACTAAATAAGTTACTATTACAGAGAGTTCTGACACATTGTGTTTGGTCATTTTAGCTTAACGAAGACAATCCGTCACTTGATTTGTGGGCAAACAAATGGGCAACATTCATTGACCGCATGGATGTAAACGGCGATGGAAAGATGGATGAATACGAATACGTTAATATGACGGCATGCAGATTTGGAGCAATAACGAAGTCCACCGAGAAGGAAGAGAAAATGAAAGCGCTCTTGAAGGAAAATTGGGACAAATGGTGGAATAGTTTTATGAACGGCGAACATTTAGAAAGCATTTCAGCAGGTGACTTTATTTCAATCGAAGATAAAACCAGAGCGAAAATGGTTGATATGCAACACTTGGTTATGGAAATGATATGGCCTCTTACGTTGTTCGAGCTGATGGATGCAGATGGGAATGACTATCTGAACAAGACAGAGTATGCCAATATTCTGAAGATTTTCCGTGCCCCATTTCCCTCGACTCTTTTCTCTGAGGTAGATACCAACACTGACGGCGCTATAAGCAAAAGTGAAATGATAATAAAGGAGTTAGCCTGGGTAATAGATAACAGTGTGGAGGGGGCAGATTTTTATGGGAAAATACGGTAATTCCACGTCTACCACTTTGTTGCCACGGGCAACATAAAGCGCGAATTTGAGCATAGGTATTACAAATCAGAGAAAAATAAACTTGATGTCTGTTCACTCCAAAAGTGAAATAGATTTTAATATGTAATACCATGTTTTATTAATTTTGATCGTTAGCGAAAATGCAATTGCTGCTTCAGTAAACTGAAAAGTCGGTGCGCCATAATGACAGACACACACAAAGACAGTCAAACATACAGAAGAACAGATTGATGGTTACTGCCTTTTAAAATTATTTTTTCAATTTTAAATATCTTTTTCAGAAACAAACATTTTGCAAAATGAATCTGTATGATTGATATTTCTATTTGGCACCAATGTTAAGTCTCGTAAATGGTTTTATAATCATTGAAAAGTGAGTTCAAACTTGTCATAAAAATTAACGATTCGCTATGGCGTTTTATCACATTAATGACACGTGTAATTGTTTCAAAATATCTCGCTATCTCACGAAGGGTTATTTCATTAATTCCTGTGCTGATCATCGACGACGGAAGCAAAAACAGTGTCACCCCTACCGCAATTATACACATTGCTACAATGGTACCGATATTAATGACACTGTAACAGAAGTGCAAGATAACCGAACTTGTTAATTATAGGGATGTGAGTAGTAGAACATTGATCTACCTCGCGTCATCACTGAAATACCTTAAAACCAATTATATTTTGATATGGGCCTCCTAAGTAAGAATGATGCATTTTGGTGTTAGAAGGTCAGTGATCACCTCCAGGAACCGTCTACGTTAAGTCCGAAAATGCACACCAACCAAAATCTGGGCAATGATTCTGTTCTCAGATGAAAGCAGGTGTAGCGTTGTCAGAGGTAATTGAGGAACAGCTGATAAAAATTATCCTCCCAATTAGCTGACAGGACGCACGCCAAATAAGCCATGGTAAAAGGTGTGTTTTGGCTACTGTGGTGTAGGCAAACTGGCAGTGGTCAACGTGAACCTCAACGCATTGCAGTGAATTCACGTGGAAAATAACAGATTTGTCTGTCTGGTGTAATTAAACTACCCCACCCCTACCCACCCTTTTAACGCTGGTTGAACAGCAGAGGGGGTTTACTTCTGGGTTCTGTTCAATATTCATAAGCCATTATTACTGTTCATTTAATATAACACATCACATATTTTGACAATTATCAGCAATAATCGATACACAATCATTGTATAATGGTTGTTAATTCAATGCATATACTTGCATGTTACAAAGTTGAACAACACGCTATATCCGATCAACACCAGACGTCGTCATAACATGTATTGCGCTATTTTTCCATTATTCGTGCGTCGATCAACGACGTCTGAATAATGCACGGAGTCATTTCGAACCGCAAAGTAAATCGAAATGATTAATTTTCTTTAATCTTTAATGTATAAGTGCGCTATTCGCTTTTTTGTTCAATCCATACACACTGGCTAGCACGTACACTTAAAGGGATAAAAACGTTCTGACCAAAAATGAATTTTCCTGAAGTAAACAACAATTTTCCAAAACTTACCAATGGTTAATGGATCAATTTTTATATTCAAAGTTAGTCCCTGTTTTTTTCTAAAATTGTTTTGTTATATTTTCTTAAGAAATTATAACAGAGTAAAGCCATCAATGGAGGTCACGTGGTCTAAAAACAAGCTCAGATATCAGAATAATAGCTATAACTGCCGTTTTCGTAGTACAACATAATATATTATATTTCTATGAGTTGTTCACAATGTTTTATTGTGAAATATAGATCCCATACTAATATTTTTTGTCCCTTTAAAACTGTATGTCTAATAAAAAGGAAAAGTGATTGTTTACATTCATCATTCATCTTAATGTTGGATAGAAACGTCATTGTTCATGACATCTGTTTTAGTCTTCAACAAAATGTGGGTACTGCATGTTATAAGACTGGTTATTGCATGTTTTACCGTTGGTTATAGATCCAATTCTGCAAACGACATCTGTTTCCCATACAAAAAGGGTGGACTTTCGGGATAACAGTAAATATGTTTTGTAAAAAAGATAAAAAAGTGATTTTTTGCATTCACCCGCCATGCAAATGTTAGATAAGAAAACATTGTTCACACAAACTATTTTGCTTTGCCTTAAAATACCACATAATGCGAGTGGGTTATAAAATCTCACTACCCGTATGTTCAAATTCTTTTCTTCATTTTAACACATGGGATACTTGCACGAGACACAAACATTCAATACGTAAAAATTTACATTTAGGTACCCAAGTTTTTACTAATTTTGTTGACACTGTAAGCACAATTCGCTATTACCAGTTTTAATGCTACATATTAAATAAAATGAAGTAAGACCAAAAGACGTATGTTTTATTAAGCATTGTTTTACCGCTGTGGTCACAATTATTTCTTGTAATTGCCTTGAAACATTAAATCGCTGACGTTTCTTTTCAAATATCTCTATTGCAAAAATAGAATTCAATATTCAAGTAAAGTTCATTTTACACAGTCTAAAATATTTGAAAACGTTATTTTAAATATAAAATATAAGAATAAACATAATGTGGAAGCAAATAGGGGCGGGCCTACAGGTTTTCTACATAAAAAAAAATAATTAAAAAAACACGTTTATTAACCGGCCTATCGCTGCATTGACATGCAAATTATCCTCATGTGACGGTGCCCTTTTCTGCCAAGTCACAGACCTTGAAAACGGGTAGTGATCTTCCAGTGAATGCAGGATCATTCGGTGCCGAGTCTAGTAGTTGGGTAGGCCTGATTCCAAATATTTTCACCCATTCTTGTGGCCGGCCCGAATGTTTTGCTCATGCTCAAAACATTCGAAGTGCATTCTAAAACTCATTTTGGGTTACGTTCACCATGGTTCAGGGGTTGGTTTTTACTTTGATAGTCGTGTCACGTGCGCCCTGTCTCAGCGGAAACTGTGCATGCGTTATCTAAACGTTAAAAGGACATTTCGGTACTTTTTAAATGGCAAGTCTCATTTTAAATTTGACATCGCAATGAAATGTGTTCAGGTATGTATCTGGTGAAGATGTTGCTATTTTGTTACATACTGGTACCTTGTTGTAAGAAAAATGGGTGCATTTTTTACTGTCATCCACTTTTGGGCTAAAGGTTCAACATGGTTCAGGAGTTCCTTTAACTTTGATAGTCGGGTCACGTGCGCCATGTTGCAGTTTGCAAAGAAGAATGAAAAAAAGAGGAAACTGTCCATGTTACCCGGTATATGTAGCATTCTAGGCTAAAGAAAAGCTGATAGTAAATCTGAAGTCTGACTGGAAAAGACGATGTTGAAAATAGCCAAAGTTGTTCAAGCATGTCGTGGACTAGCGAAAACTACATGTATACAATTAAGGCAGACATTGACCAGTATCAAAACCACTCGGATATTTATGACCCCTTACCAACCTGCTTTGGCTGCAAGTAACGAAGCCTGTATCCTTCCTGTACGGGGACTGACGAACCGAACTTTGCGTTTGAAAAAAGTAAGTACTCCACCAAAGCAATTCCTTTTCTTTAAGCTGTATGGATAACGAGTTATTCATTTATAATTGTTAAAATAAATTTGGCGGACATGAGCGTGTATATTGTTGAATCTAGTGAGGCATTAAAAACAACCACGGCAGTGAGTTGCCTTGTTTCCCTCTTAGTACTTTGTTCTAGCCCTGGCAAAGGAATAAGGAAGAGTTAGGTTGTTGTAAACCAAATGTGCCGGAACTCTTACCTCAGAACTTTGGGATCCTCAGCGTCTACTTAAGCTGGAAATGTTTTTATACCTGAAATACATAACTGTGATTTTTGTTTTATCAATGAGTGGTGGCACCTGACACATTTGTCTTCCATCAACAAATGCACACACACACACACACACACACACACACATACACACATACAAACACACACACATACATACACAATTACACGCACATGAGTACACATGCACACAAACATGAGTGCAAGTACACGCACCCACGCACAAACGCCACACATGAACCCAAATACACATGGATTTTTGTACTGACCGTACTTACCAAGTACAAGCACGGTTTGTTACGCTCCCTAAGCACAATACTTTTAACTGCCGTAAATGTTTGTGTTAAAGAAGTCTGGGTATACATTTATTTCCACCACCTATAACTGGTCCTGGTTTCACCTTGCCTTGAAAACCTTTCAGATGCCGATGGATTACCCACTGGTAACTGGATCAGACCATTGGAAGAGAAAGATGCGCACTGTATTCAAGCGCTTAGACGTCAATGGCGACGGATACATTACAGAGGAAGACTTTCTGATGGCTGCTAGACGAGCTGCGCGGTATTTAGGTCTCAATGGTAACACTGTGTTTTAAGATGTATTTCGGGGCATATCTCCTAAGAAGGGGATCAAAAATGGGTTCAACTAAAGGTCCACTTTGGATTTCATTATCCCCTATTTTTAATACCTCTCGCTTAAATTCTGCTCATTTTGTTCACTTTAGGGGCTGACGACAGAATTGGGGGTGGGGGTGGGGGCGGGTATCAACCTGGTTTTGACGTCAAAGGTGTAGTGTAGTTCTCCGCTCATTGTGCATTGTATTGAAGCAGAGAAGTCAAAGGTGATCAGCACGATTTACCGTTGGTGGAGCTCAGCAGTTGTACCTGTGGCTCCAATACCCAGTTGATGACCCCCCGCATCTCCCGTTAATCCAAAGACGAAGCAAATTAATTGCAGATAATTAAATATTACCGTTTTCATTTCCATGCTCCAGAAACTAACGTCCTATATAAGAGCATACCGATATATGTTTGATTTGCATGGGTGGTACCTTGGTATGGAAGAAAAATGAAGGAACCGAAAAGGATCATTGACTTAATTTGTGAAGTACATACACTGTAATAGTATATGTGAAACCGATTTTGGTGACGTTATTGCTGCTCTAACATCATTAACCTAACATACATCTCTTATCGTTTTAGACGAGGAAACAGAACCAGTTTTGGAAATACGCCGTGAAGTCTGGAAAGCTTGGGCTACTAACAGTAAAACCGGCATGATATCAGAGGAAGAGCACAGAGAGAAAGCCATGTTACAATGTAATCAAAATAACTTCCGACTGGAAATTTATCCTCAAATTTTACTGACGGGATTCGACAACATGGATAGCGATGGAGATGGCCGAATATCACAGAGGGAATTTGCCGCCTTTTACTACGGTATGAACGTCCCAGCCGAATATTCGAAGGATGTCTTTGATGTTCTAGACGAAAACAAAGATGGCTTTATTTCATTGGAGGAATATGCACAAGCGCATGCGGATTTTTTGTTCAGTGAGGATCCCAATAGCAAGTACTCTGACTTTTTTGGTCCTCTAGTGCCATAATTTCGTTGCCGTACAGTACATGTACCGGTGCGACCATAAAAAAAGACCAGGGCCCCGTATATCGAAAGCATCGCGTATTGCGAATCGTTATATCAAATAGAGGCTACAATGTATTATATGGAACGAGTATGGGCGAGTTATGGAATCGAGACGCTTGTGCACGATCGAAATGCACGATGCTTTCGAGATACGGGGCCTTTCTGTCATTAGATCGCGATCGGGTTTTAGCCTCTCGTTAGTTATGAGTGCTGTTTCACGAAGCTCGCGATATTTTGCGTATTCCTGTGAGATATATAACATGCGTTATATGCTAATATGTCCTGTATGTATTATACAATAGTATAATACAATAGATCATGAAAAATACAAATGTGATTGAGCCATTAGTTAAAGATTTTGGAAAATGCACCTATTAAGTAGGTGACGTGAACTTTTACATCGGCCACCAGAGGCGCTGTAACATATGTAGCACGTTGTTTCGTAATCACCTTTGCATCTTTGTTGTCATTTGCCAATAGTGCGGTCATTTCAGTGTCATCTCATCGTGTGGTACTTGATGCAATGTTTCTATGAAATTAAATATATAGCTATAATACTTACACAACATTCGGCAACTTAAAGATTATGTACACAGTAACGGGGCGGCCAGTAAAGCAATTGTCTAAAAGGAAAACGTACATGTCGACTATATATATATATATATATATATATATATATATATATATATATATATATATATATATATGTGACTTTATACTAATATCACCCTACTAATGAACTACGAATAGGTGACGACGGTTTACCAAATCTTTCATATCGAAAAAATAAACAACTAAATATGTACATATCCAAAGTGTTCTACGCGTTTTTCCTTATTACATCGTGAAGAGAACAACCTGACCGCACCCAGAAGTGGTGTGCACCCGCTTTTATAGTGAGCGTTGACAAAAAGTACTCAAATATTCATGACCCTATTACAGCGACATTGCGGTAGCTGTGATAACGTGATATATTTGTTGATGTCGATAACGGCCGTAATTGAACTATGAGTAAAAGTGAAATGTAAAAAAGGCAAATACACTTCCAAGATTTCTATGGCGAATGTTTGACCATATCACAGAAGATCGATGGTTTTGTCAGAGGGTGGGCCGGGACTACCCTGAGTGCCAGAGCAACGTGAAAGTTAGTTTGTTTAATATTTAATATACCTTGGAGTCACTTTCACTAGCTCTGACGAACAGCCACAATCTGACACCCTGAGCTTCAAAGATAACTTGACACTAACCTCTTCACTGTAGTCTATCTTCATCGTGTCAAGTTACCTCTGACGAAAATAGTTTGACCTAGTTTATATAAGCCAATCGAATCCATGTTTCAAACATTTTCACCAAAGATTGGTGAAAACGCTGATTGGTTGAAAGTCCAGAATTATGTCAAATGAGAAAATTGTATTTTGTTGCGTCTGCATAACCGTCAATCGGTAATCCTCGGCTGATTCCGCAAGCGATACTAACAACAAAGTAATTGTCGAGTGCGGAGACATCCGAGTAGTTCCGAGTGCATAACCGTGCACAAAGAAAGCATGGCGTCTCCTACGAGTGCCTACGTAAAAGAATGGGTTAAGTTATCTCTTGATTCTTTACAAAATATGAGTATAACGGAATTGAAACCAGAGCAGTTTGAGGCCCTGCATCATTATCTACTGAGGGATGGTGTATTTTGGGCGTGCTGTCCACAGGTTACGGCAAGTCCCTGATATTCAGCCTTATCTTTGATTGGTCCGGATTTGAACAAAGCGCGCTTTGACTCGTTCGCGTTCATTGGCTAGATCGTTCAATGAGTCATTGAGTGCGGGCTTTAATTTTGATTGGCAGGCGGCGCAGGCAATCGAATATGGTCAGAGGTAACTTGACACGATGAAGATAGACTACAGTGAAGAGGTTAGTGTCAAGTTATCTCTGAAGCTCAGGGTGCAATCTGAGGGCGTTCTTCTTTAAAATTTTGCCTGGGGCGCAACCATATTTGGAAGTCATGCGTCACAGCTGTGTCCGCCTGGATCCATATTTGGAAGTCATAAGTCTCGTACGTCACAGGTTTAGCCGCCTGGAGCTGCCTTTCCCGCCTTGCGCTGACATTATCTCGTGCAGACGAGACAAGAATCAAAGTGTCTGAAGCGGATTTAGAAGTTTGAATTGAAAATATCTTACAGTCGAAGGTCAGTGCCACAATACAAGCAACATTCTGCTTTAAAAATTGATTTTGGTGTAGCCGTTGCGCACCCCTTATTGTGGTATCGGGCATCCAGCGTAGCTGTCAAATTTGGCACAACACGGCAAGCACGTGTATATTGTGTCTATTATCTCAGGACTAAATGTTCTTTTATAAGCAAAAATACAAAAACATTGGATGTACCTTTTTCTTTTAGAACATATTACTTATTTCTCACTTTACATATCTTAAATACAGCAAATAAAATTAAATAAAGCAGAATTAAATCTAGTTTACGTTTCATTTTGGTCTGATGGCATTGAACTGCAGATTCACTGCGGAGCAGTTCTATTTGATTGACGGGAGCCTAACGTGGCCGCTGTGCACTAGAGCCTGGTATTGCGATATGCGTTATATATGAAATCAAGATCGAGCTGGCAATACCGGAATCTAGAACCTAGGGTAGGCGGGACTGGAAAACAATACTGACTTTTAAATAACTCTGAAAGAACAATAGCTTTATTTTCGGGATTTTTCCTTTTGCCATTTTGTACTAAATATGGTGAACTGCCACAAAAGGTGTCGTTTGACAAATAATACCTATTTTTGGAAAGTAGACTAAGTAGACTACTAAAATATTTTGATGAGTAGATTTAGGTCCCTTAATAGGCTGAAATATCACTAGAGTAGATTTTGTTTGGTCTACTTGCCAAATGATTGAGTTCTTTGAGCATATCGTGACCGAGAGCATTTATTTCTATGGCAAAAGTTTTTTGCGCATCGCACATACGGTTTGTGAACCCAGCTATTATTCTTCTTAAAAATTGTTTGATACAGCTCACTCAACCATGTGTAGTCAGTTGAATCCGATTTCGGCAGGCTAAGCTTAGCCAAATAACTTCATTAGACGTTTCGTAGCATGGGGGCCTGGAAATGGTACTATTTTATTACATTCCGGTACCTTGTTGTAAGAAAAAGGGACTACTTTTTGTAGTCACTCATTTTTGGGTAACATGTTCACCATGGTTCAGCGACTTTTGTTTTTACTTTGATAGTCGTGTCACGTGCGCCCTGTCTCAGAGGAAACTGTGCATGCGTTATCTAGTATTGGTAAACGTTAAAAGGAAACGCCGGTATTTTTTAAATGGCAAGTCTTATTTTAAATTTGACATCGCAATAAAATTCAGGTCTTTTTCTTGCGGAGATGTTGCTATTGTGTTACATACTGGTACCTTGTTGTAAGAAAATGGGTGCATTTTTTACTGTCATCCACTTTGGGCTAGAAGTTCAACATGGTTCAGGAGTTCCTTTTACTTTGCTAGTCGGGTCACGTGCACCATGCTGCAGTTTGCAAATAAGGATGAAAAGAAGTAAATTGTACATGTTATGTACAGCATTCTAAGCGATCATTAAAAGAAAAGCTGGTACATTTTAAATCTCAAGTCTGATCGGAAATAACGATGTTGAAAATAGCGAAAGTTGTTCAAGCATGTCGTGGACTAGCGAGAATTATTCAATCAAGCCAGAGATTGACAAGTATCACAACCACTCGGATATTTATGACCCCTTTCCAATCTAGTTTGGCTGCAAGTAACGAAATATGTATCCTTCCTGTCCGGGGACTGACGAACCGAACTTTGCGTTTGAAAAAAGTGAGTACTCCACCAAAGCAATTCCTTTTCTTTAAGCTGCATGAGCAACGAGTTGTTGATTAATAATTGTTACAATAAATTAGGCGGACATGTGCGTGTATGTTGTTGAATCTAGCGAGGCATAAAAAACAACCACGGCAGTGAGTTCTAGCCCTGGCAAAGGAATAAGGTAGAGTGAGGTTGTTGTAAACCAAATGTGCCGGAACTTTTACCTCAGAACTCTGGGATCCTCTACTTTAGCTGGCAATGATTTTATACCTGAAGTACATGATTGTGATTTTTGCTTTATCAATGAGTGGTGGCACCTGACGCATTTGTTTTCCATCAACAAATGTACACACACACACAAATACAAACATACAAACACACACACACATACATACACAATTACACGCACATGAGTACACATGCACACAAACATGAGTGCAAGTACATGCACCCACGCACAAACGCCACACATGAACCCAAATACACATGGATTTTTGTACTGACCGTACTTACCAAGTACAAGCACGGTTTGTTACGCTCCCTAAGCACAATACTTTTAACTGCCGTAAATGTTTGTGTTAAAGAAGTCTGGGTATACATTTATTTCCACCACCTATAACTGGTCCAGGTTTCACTATGAAAACCTTCCAGATGCCGATGGATTACCCACTGGTAACTGGATCAGACCATTGGAAGCGAAAGATGCGCACTGTATTTAAGCGCTTAGACGTCAATGGCGACGGATACATTACAGAAGAAGACTCTCTGATGGCTGCTAGACGAGCTGCTCAGTACTTGGGTCTCAATGGTAACACTGTATTTTAATTTACATGTATTTCGAGGCATATTTCCTAAGAAGGAGATCAAAAACTAGGTTCAACTAAAGTTCCACCTTGGATTTCATTGCCCCCTCTTTTTAATGCCTCTCGCTTATATTCTGCTCATTTTGTTCACTTTAGGGGCTGACGACAGAATTGGGGGGGGGGGTACAACCTGGTATTGATGTCAATGGTACGGCGTAGTGTAGCTCTCCGCTCATCGTGCATTGTATTGCAGCAGAAAAGTCAAAGGTGTTCAGCATGATCTACCGTTGGTGGAGCTCAGCAGTTGTACCTGTGGCTACAATACCAAAGTAATGTTCCCCCACCTCCCGTTAACCCAAAGACGACGCAAACTAACTGCAGATAATTAAATATTATCGTTTTCATTTCCATGCTCCAGAAATTAACGTCCTATCTAAGAACATACCGATGTATGTTTGATTTGCATGGGTGGTACCGTGGTATGGCAAAAAAAAAAAATAATAATAAAATAAATAAATAAAAATAAATAAATAATAATAGAAATAAAAAATAAAACAAAAATAAAAAAAATTAAAAAAATGATCAGAAAAGGATCATTGACTTAATTTGTGAAGCACATACAGTGTATTAGTATATGTGAAACCGATTTTGGTGACGTTATGGGTGATCTTACATCATTAATCTAACAGACATCTCTTATCATTTTAGATGAGGAAACAGAACCAGTTTTGGAAGTACGCCGAGAAGTCTGGAAAGCCTGGGCTACTAACAGTAAAACCGGCATGATATCAGAGGAAGAGCACAGAGAGAAAATCATGTCACAATGTAATCAAAATAAGTTTCGATTGGAACTCTATCCGCAAATTGTACTGACGGGATTCGACAACATGGACAGCGATGGAGATGGCCGAATATCAAAGAGGGAATTTGCCGCCTTTTACTACGGTATGAACGTCCCAGCCGAATATTCGAAGGATGTCTTTGATGTTCTAGACGAAAACAAGGATGGCTTCATTTCATTGGAGGAATATGCCCAAGCGCACGCGGATTTTTTCTTCAGTGAGGATCCCAATAGCAAGTACAATGACCTTTGTGGTCCTCTAGTGCCATAATTTCGTTACCGTACAGTACATGTACCGGTGCGACCATAAAAAAGACCAAGGCCCCGTATCTCCAAAGCATCGCGCATTGCCACCGTGGGCAAGCGTCTCAATTCCATAACTCGCCCATACTCGTCCCATATAATATATGGTAGCCGTTATTTGATATGGCTTTTTGCAATACGCAATGCTTTCGAGATACGGGGCCCAGCTGTCATTAGTTAGCTATCGGTTTTTAGCCTCTCGTTAGTTATGAGTGCCGTTTCACGAAGCTAGCGCTATTTTGCGTGTTCCTGTCAGATATAGAAAGAAAACATGCGTTATATGCTAATATGTTCTGTACGTATGTATAATACAATAGATCATGGAAAATACAAATGTAATTGAGGCATTACTTAAAACACCTATTTAGAAGATGACGTGAACTTTCAAATCGGCCACCAGAGGCACTACATAACACATGCAGCACGTTGTTTTGTAACCACATTTGCATCTTTGTTGTCATTTGCCAATAGTGCGGTCATTTCAGTGTCATCTCATCGCGTGGTACTTGATGCAAAGTTTCTATGAAATTAAATATATAGCTATAATACTTACACAACATTCGGCAACTTAAAGATTACGTACACAGTAACGTGGCGGTCAGGAAAGCAATTGTCTAAAAGGAGAACGTACCTGTCGACTATATATATATATATATATATATATATATATATATATATATATATATATATATATATAAGATAACTTTATACTAATATCACCTGACATTAATGAACGACGAATAGGTGACGACGGTTTACAAAATCTTTCATATCGAAATAAATAAACAACTAAATATGCACATATCCAAAATGTTCTTCGTGTCTTACCTTATTATATTCTGAGGGGAACAACCTGACCGCACCCAGAAGTGGTGTGCACCCGCTTTTATAGTGAGCGTTGACAAAATGAACTCAAATATTCATGACCCTATTACAGCGACATTGCGGTAGCTGTGATAACGTGATATATATTTGTTGATGTTGATAACGACCGTAATTGAACTATGAGTAAAAGTGAAATGTGAAAAAGCAAATACACTTCCAAGATTTCTATGGCGAATGTATGACCATGTATCACAGAGGATTGAGGGTTTTGTCAGAGGGTGGGGCGGGACTGGACAACAATACTGACTTTTAAATAACTCTGAAAGAACAATAACTTTGTTTTCGGGATTTTTCCTTTGCCATTTGTACTAAATTTGGTGAACTGCCACAAAATGTGTCGTTTGACAAATACAGTCTATTTTTGGCAAGTAGACTAAGTAGACCACTGAAATATTTTGATGAGTAGATTTAGGACCCTTAATAGGCTGAAATATCACTAGAGTAGTTTTTTTGGTCTACTTGCCAAATGATTGAGTTCTTTGAGCACATCGTGACCGAGAGCATTTATTTTTATGGCAGAAGTTTTTTGGGCATCGCACATACGGTTTGTGAACCCAGCTATTATTCTTCTTAAAAAACATTTGTTTGATACAGCTCACTCAACCATGTGTAGTCATTTGAATCCGATTTCAGCAGGCTAAGCTTAGCCAAATAACTTCATTAGACGTTACATAGCATGGGAGCCTGGAAATGGTACTATTTTATTACATTCCGGTACCTTGTTGTAAGAAAAAAGGACAACTTTTTGTAGTCACTCATTTTTGGGTAACATGTTCACCATGGTTCAGCGACTTTGTTTTTCATGTTAAGGAGCTAAACGAACTTAGGAGCTAAACGCGTTGAAAAAATGAGACAAAACAGGCGCTTAGAAATGTGTTTAGGAGCTAAACACTGTTTTTCGATGTGTTTGGGGCGTAACTTCATGCCTGAACACGATTTTATTCCAAAAATTGGCAGAGTTATCCAGGAGAGTAAAGACTATAATCCCTGCTGTCATTTTGGTTTGAAAGTTTTTGTTATGGAGTTACGAGCCTCTAATTACAGATTTTCATTAAACAAAGGCATCATTTTGCTTTATCAGCGATACAATCTGAACTGAGACTTTAAGAAAAATCGCTGGCAGGGTTTTGGAGTACCAAATGGTATCATTAAATCGGCTTTGGCACGGTGATCGTGGGTGCTCAGGTAAAAGAGATATCTGAGAAACCTTTTTTTTCTGTTTTTACCCCAAAATCACGATTATGACGTCAACCGTAATATGACATATGTGTAAAGATTTATTTATTACCCAAAATAATATATGTAAGGCAGTAAATAAGAGTTTTGGGAGATGGGTGACAATGTCCTTAATAATCTAACGAATAAACACGGTGACCATATTTTGACGAAGTATTATCTCTTTTAATTTCTTTGTTTTGTTGACATTTGTTGACATTGGAAATTTTAAGTGTTAAATAATTCCTTCTCGATATGATAACAGGAAAAACGAAAAGTTATGTACTATTTTCGTTAACGAAGGGCGATTTAGCATATATCGCAAATATGATGTTCATAGTGATAGCCGTTGAATGTATAAAAATAAAAAACAAAGGTTTTCAATGAATTTACGTACAGCAGTTTCGAAAAAAAAATTCTGAAGACATTTCATTATTTTCAATGAATTTAGATTTTATTTCTTTTTATTTTCTTTTTTCAAAATCTTCTAACGCAAAATTATGCACCTAGAACAGTTGTTTAGGCAACATTGCAATCCTCCCTGGTTCCACATCTCCAGGAATCAGGTGACAGTAGGATCGGTTTATCCTTGGGACACATGCAGCCTTTCCAGCACAACGTGACGCACATTGGAGGGTCATATGATGTGCACGTGGTCGGGCAAATCCAGCCACACTTTGATGGGTATTCCGGCATCTCCAGATCACCGGGGCATTCTGAGAAAAACGGAGTAAGATAAATAAACACAGTTACAGTAATACCCGTTAAAAAAGTACCTAAGCCAAATACGAGGACTTCTTTACTTGACGACGAATCCATACCATTTCAAGTGCATGTAAATGAAGTGAGTTTAGTTCTGAAGCTGTAGCCATGCCTTTTCTGCGTAGGCGCTATATTCCTATAAATTGGACTACAGATTTATCTTAGCTCAAACTTTTTTGAATTTTGGTCTAAAAATATAAACCAGTTTTAGAGCAAAATCCTTTTGTGAAGTCATCTGTAGGTTTTTTTATAATAGACTTACAATTACGAAATGCTTTCTCGAGATATAAAGGAAATTCAATAATATAAATGCGGATACTGAATTGTATGCAAATGAAATTTTTGTGCAAACCGATATTAAATAGTCGGGAAGATTTATCATGCCCGGTTACATGTATACAGCTGCTGTGATTATAAACAAGTCTGAATGAGAGTAGGTGCGGTCTTGATACTTTCATCAGCCTGCTTAAGTCACTTATTGAAAAAAAGTGGATGAAACCAGGCCCCGTAACTCGAAAGTATCGCGCATTGCGACCGAGGGCAAGCGTCTCGATTCCATAACTCGCCCATACTCGCCCCACATAGGGGCTATGGAATCGAGACGCTTGCGCTCGGTCGCAATACGCGATGCTGAAGACTTACGGGGCCCAGGTGTAACAGGAATGAAGCACGCAAGGTACCGTGGTACGTTTTTCATTACTTTGCACAGGTGACATTCGTCCCATTTACTAACCCCAATACTCCAACTAACCCTAACCTGTACTAATCATATAGGACCCCGGACTGCCATTCCTAGGACTACCATTCCTGTCACACTGGCATATTTGGATATTGAATATCTAAACTTGTTTGCATACATGTACCTCCTTTTTCATCTGGTGGAGGGTAATGAAGCCGTCTCGGGTTTGCTGCAATACCCGAAATTACCAAAATCACCAACAAGGCACGCATTCTAAAAAGGTGCAATTTTACAGTGAATACAAAATACCACTTCAAGGTTTCATTCCATAAATAAAAAATCTGTATATAGTACAGATAAGTTATTGCCTGGTTATCGAAGCAGATGGAATCAATACCACCCCCACCAACACGTACTGAGTTCAGCAGAGATGGAGTCGGGCATTTTCTTTTTCTCAAGCATGTTGTACCCTTCTTTCACCTTTCAATACGCCCACCTGTTAGCCTAACACCTGTCATTCTCAGCTACTTGTCAAAATTATGCCTCGCCCTAGATCATTTTCCATTTTTAGACTATTCGATTTCTACACAATAAGCTGAAAGCGGACCCGAGAACTTGCGTCCCTACACTTGGGACTCATCAGATTCTCTGAAGTTACGTGACAGTGCATAGTGAACAGTTTAGTGAAAACCAGATGTGAGACGGGTTGTGCCTCCCCCCCCCAATATGGCTGACTCTCTTGAATACTTGTTGCGTAATCCCCGCGGGGAAACTATTCAGTGTCTGATCGGGAATTAAGCCGCGAGGTTTTTAGTGGTGAGCCATATTTGATGCGCGGATCTGTTAGACCCCATTTCCAGAGATTAGATCGATCTACTTTAGATTGACCTAACTCCCTGGGGGTTCACGCTAAATAGCTGTCAGCCGGGCGGACACGAAAGTTAATTACCCCCTTACAGCTTGTATTAGGCGGGACGGACATTTAAGCCAGATTATCTGACAGTAATCTAGTGAGACTACCCGCGGGGATAGATCGATCTAAAAGCTCTGGGAACAGAGCCTTAGTCCGCTGTTCTGAATGCACAAATATACAGAGTCGTACTTCACAAAAGAAATTTAGGGACTTTGTCATTTTTAAAGTAAGAGATTTTGGACAAAATGTTAAATTTTGGGCAAATTACTAAAACTGAATAAAATCCAAGAATAATATTAGTTTATACATAAATCTACACTGTACATGTATAAAGGAACATGACAGAGGCAAACTGTTATTGAAGCACCATAGTAAATCTAAATGCTGGTATACCAGCTCGAGCCCATTGTTTCTACTCACGTGGATTGCTTACTTGTTCTTTGGGTTTGTTTCGAAGATTTCACGAAGAAATAAACTCGACGCCTCAGCCGCAACAGTTTACAGACGCTACTTC